TTCCATTTATCTGTATGTCTAACCTTATGCCATTACCACAATATAGTTTTGTAGTATGTTTTAAAATCTAGAAGTGTGGGTCTTCCAATTTTGTTCTTCTCTTGCAGTATTGTTTGGGCTATTCTGGTTCGTTGAGTTTCTATGTGAAGTTTACAGTCAATTTCTGTGAAATTGTCAATTTCTGTGGGAAAAAACAGCTGGATTTTGATAGAAATAGTCTATAGATCAGTTTGGGGAGTATTATATTAATAATGTTAAATCTGATCTATGAACATGGGATATCTTTTGATTTACTTGGGTCTTCTCTAATTTCTTTCAATGATGTTTTTTAGTTTTCATTGTACAAATCTTGGCTTCTTTTATTAAATTCATTTCTCTGTCTTTTATTCTTTTTGGTGTTATTGTAAATGGAATTCTTTTTTAAATTTCATTTTCAGATTGTTCATTGCTAATGTGTAGAAAAACAATTGAATTTTGCGTATTGATCTTGTACTCTGCAACCTTGCTGAACTCATTTATTAGTTCTAATAGCTTTTTAATGGGTTCCTTGGGATTTTCGACATACAAGATCATGCCATCTCCAGACATAGTTTTCCTGCTTCCTTTCCAATCTGGGTGCATTTTATTTATTTTTTATGCCTAATTACCCTGGCTAGAACATCTAGTACAATGCTAAATAAAAGCGGCAAGAGCAGATATCTCTGACTTGTATATATACACCACATCTTCTTCATCCATTCATCTGTCTATGGACCTCTGACTCTTTCCATAGTTTGGCTATTGTGAACATTGCTGTTATAAACATTGGGGTGCAGGTGCCCTTTTGATCACTGCATTTGTATTTTTGAGGTAAATATCCAGTAGTGCAATTTCTGGGTCATAGGGTAGCTCTATTTTCAACTTTTTAAGGAAACTCCATATTGGGGAACCTACATAGGGGGAAAGCATTCAGTTTTTCCCCATTAAGTATCATTGTCTTTGGTGCATTTGTAGATGCCCTTTATCAGGCTGGGGAAGTCCTCTATTCCTAGTTAGTTGAGCGTTGCTTTGTTTCAATCATGAAAGAGTTTTGGATTTTATCAAATGCTTTTTTTCTCTTAAGATGATCATATAGTTTTTGTCCTCTATTCTATTAAAATGATTAAACTTTTTTTTTTAAGTCAAAACAACCAACTTTGCATTCCTGGATAAATTCCACTTGGCCATGGTGGGTAAATCTTTTTGTATATTGCTAGATTTGGCTTGCTAGTATTTTGCTGAGAATTTTTGCATTTGTCTTCATAAGGGATAATGGTCTTTAGTTTTCTCTTTTTGTGATGTCTTTGTCTGGTTTTGGTATCAGGATAGGATAATATTGGTCTCATAGAATGTTAGAATGGCCTCACAGAGTATTCCCTACTCTTCGACCTTTAAGAATAGTCTGAGGGATTTGTGTTAGTTCTTCTTTAAACATTTGGTAGAATTCACCAGTGATGCCATCTGGTCCTAGGCTTTTCTTTGTGGGACGTTTTTGGATTACTAATGCAGTTTTTCTCCTTTCATAGGTTCACTCAGATTTTCTATTTCCTCTTGAGTCATTTTCTAGGAATTTGCCCATTTCATCTGGGATATCTGATTTATTGGCATACAATTGTTCATAGCATTGCTTTACCATCTTTTCTATTTATGTAAAGTTGTTTGTGATGTCCCCTCTTTGATTCCTGATTTAAGTCTTTTCTCTTTTTATCCTGGTCAGTCTAGTTAAAGATTTGTCAGCTTTCCTAATCTTTTCAAGGAACTAACTTGTGATCTTCTTAATTCTCTTTATTGATTTTCTAATCTCTATTTCATTTATTCCCACTCTAATCTTTATTATTTCCTTCCTTCTGCCAGCTCTGGGTTTGGTTTACTTTTATTTTCCAGATCTTAGGGTGGAAGATTCAATTATTGAATTGAGGTCTTTCTTTCTCTTTTAACACAGGTGATTACAGCTATAAATATTCCTCCACTTTAGCTGAACCCCACAAATTCTGGTATGTTGTGTTTCATTTTCAGTCATCTCCAAGTATTTTCTAGTTTCTAATTTTCTCATTTCTTTTTAAAAATATATTATTTATTTCTTTATTTGAGAGAGTGAGAGAGCAAGAACAGGGGTGGGAGCAGAGGGAGATGGATTAAGTAGACTCTGTGCTGAATGCAGAGCCCAACTCAGGGCTTGATCCCAGGACCCTGAGATCATGATCTGAGCCGAAATCAAGAGTCAGGTGCTTAACTGACTGAGCCATCCAGGTGTCCCTCTAATTTTCTAATTTCAAATATTTCTTTTTTTTTTTTTAAGATTTTATTTATTTATTTGTCAGAGAGAGTGAGAGAGAGCACAAGGAGGGGGAGCAGAAGGCTCCTTGCCGAGGAAGGAGCCTGATGCGGGACTCGATCCCAGGACCCTGAGATCATGACCTGAGCCGAAGGCAGTTGCTTCACCGACTGAGCCACCCAGGCGTCCCTAATTTTGAATATTTCTAATTCCAAAGTGTTTTCTATTTCCTCACCATTTCTTCTTTGAGATAGCAGAGCTTTACATGTGTTAAAGGGTTAAGAAATACATAAAGATTACTGTAAAAATGGCATCAAGTTGGGACAAATTTGCATTTTCAAAACAAGAGTTATAGCAGAATGGGCTGTACAACATGGCCACAAGTCACCTCCCATCATGCCCTAAAATTTTATCACTCAGCTCCCTACATCCTGTCCATCAGAATGTTCTCCAAGATGTACCCTCAGGCCACCCGCTCATCCCCACCCCTGGGTCCCTAAACCAAGCCACTATACTTGTCAGTCCAGGAGAACTGTAAAAGTCTCCTGAGTTCTTGCTCTGTCTTGCCTCCTACAGTCTGTTCCCCATGCAGTAAGCTTTTCGAAAATCACAAATCACCAATCTGATTACATCTCCCTCCTGTTTAAAACCCTCCAATGGCTTCCCAGTCTGATGAGAAACCCTTCCCATGGCCTATCAGACTTGAAATGAAATGAACCCCTCTATCCCCTGACTCACTACCCCCCACTGACTTATGACCTCCCCATTCTTTCTGCTCCAGCCATATCCAGTGACCCCGCTGTTTCTTTAAAATGAGTTTCCATCCCAGAGATTTTGAATTCTTGATATTTTCTTCCCTGTCCTCATTAATCCAACCTTGGCCCAAATGTCATCCTCTCAGAGAGGCCTCGAGTGACCAGCTCTTCCTCCGTGGTCCATATAGCACTGAAAGCCTCACGTCCTGGGAAACCCCATAATATCAAGCCATTGAGGGTGGTTGGTCACCCTTGAGAGACCGTCCCTGGCTACTCTATCCAAAATAAGCCCGACCCAGTTATCCCCCCGAGTTGCTATTATATCACTTTTCCTACCGTGGGAATTGTGTCCCTAGCACCTAGAATGGTGGCTGACAAATAGTAGGCACTCGATAAATATTTCTGACTAAATTAATAATTGAAGGAAAGGAACTGATTCCTGCAGTCCTAAGCTTAAGACTCTATCACATAAAAATCTGAAAGAAGCAACCTGTTAGAAAGTGGCAAAATCAATTCAGCAGGTGACCATCAGCATTTTCATTAAAATGAATAGAATAGAAAAGATCAAGCATAGTTGCCTAAAGTATCATGTTATGAAAATTTTATTTTAGTTATTTTGTGTTTGTGTGGACTGGGCCTTTGGGTCAAATGTATTTTTTGCTGTGGTGTTGGGGTCAAAAATGTTTGAAAACCACTCATCTACTTACTGGTCAAATGCACAGGCTTTGGCCCCAGACTGCTGGGGTTTAAAGCCCTCACAAGCTCTTTGGCACTGTGCAAACTCACTCATTCTTTCCAGACCTCAGTTTCTTGATCTGTTATGTAGGGATACTGCATAGCACATTTCTCAGGATACGAGTGTGAGATTCAACTGAGTTAGCATACAAAAAAATGCTGAGATCAGTTTCGGGCACCTAAGAACAATTTAATTGGTGTTCACTAATGTGATTACTTGTTGAGTGAATGAATGAATGGATGAATGGATGAATGGATGAATGAATGAATGAATGAATGAATGAATGAATAGGGCTGAGGTCTAATCTGTGAAATTGCCCTGCCTGTTTCTTCCCAGAACAAGTTTTCTCTCCAGCCCCTTCTTCTGAATAACTATGTATGTTTATTTATTCTGTTTATTGTCAGTGTCCCGGCATTAGAATAAAAGCTCCAGCAGAGTGTGGGTTGTTTGTCCTACCTAGGATTTGAACCTACCATCTGGGGCTGGGGGGAGGGAAGAGGGTTGGCAAACATTTTCTATGAAAGTCTGGATAGTAAATATTCTAGTTTCTGTTTATGCCATTCCATCTTTGTGCAACGAATTAACTCTTCACGACTCAACTCTGCCTGTGTGGTGTGAAAACAGCCTTCCACAATCTCTTAAAGGATGGGCCTGGCTGGGTTCCAATAAAACTTTATTTACAAACACAGGCAGACATAATTTGGCCCAAGGTGTGGTCGGCCAACCTTTAAAGATACTGAAAATACTGGATTCCAGTAATACAAGAGTTTCACATAGTTTTCACATGCCACTGAAGATTCTTCTTTTAATTGTTTTAAACCACTGAAAAGATATTTAAAAACTCTCAGCTTGTGGTCCATGAAAAACAGGCAGCGGGGAGGACTTGGCCTGCAGGTCGGAGTTTGCTGACCCCAGACTCAGACTATGCCTGGACGTCCGGTAATCGTTCGTGGGTTAAACGAAGGCCCCATTAGAGTCACCGAAATTTAGCCTTCCCGGAGCAGCGCCACCCACCGGGAGCCGCGCGCGCTTCCCGCTCGCCAACCCTCCGAGCCGCGCGCGCCTCCCGCCAAGCCACGCCCTCCTTCGCGGCGATTGGTCAAGCCTCTCCCTCGTCCTCGCCAGGGGACGCCCCCTCTGACGGACGCTGCGAGCCGCCAATGGAGTACCGCAAGGGCCTTACACCCGGCCCTCCTCGCGCCCGTTGGAGGCGGGCGTAGGCGGGCCGTTGAGGGGTGGGGCGTGGAGCCTGGTAACCGTTGCCGGTAACAACGCCCCGCCCCATCGCGGCGGGCGGGCGAGCAGGCGGGCGGGCGCGCGAGGCTGGCGGGCGGACGGCGGGAGCGGGAGGAGGAGCGGCCACAGCCGCCACCGCCGCCGCCATAGAGACTGTAGCCGTGGAGACTGTTACTTACCAACGGGGACCAACACGCAGCAGCCGCTGCTGCCGCCGCGGGAGCCGCTGCCCGAACTCCCGGCCCGAACTCCAGGTGACCGATGCGACCGCCCCGGGCCCGGCCCGACCCGGGAGTGCGGGGGGCGGCGGGGATCCGGATCGGGGGGTCGGGAGGCGGGCGGCACAGCCCTCGCCGGTCACCCCAAACGTCCGGGATGGCACGCCCGCGGGACCCGTCTCTTCACCCCAGTTCCGCAGGCGCGGCCGAGTTTGGGGGAGTCTGGGAACCACCCCCCGACCCTTTACCCAAACTCGGGGGCAGGTGGGAACCCATCGCCTCACTTTTCAGAAAACTTCCTGAGTTGGGGGCTCCCGAGATCCCTGTCTCACTCTTACCCTAAAAGTCCCCGAATTGAGTGTGCCCCGGGACCCCTCAAACTTTTATCTTCAAACTCCCTCAACTGGGGCTCCTGGGAACCTCTTTTACTTCCCCCCAAATCCTTAAGTTGGGGGCGCCCAGCGACCTCTCTCTCACTGTCTCTCAACTTCTTGAAACCATCTCAAACCCTTGCCTTAAGCTCCCAGAATTGGGGGCTCCTGCGGACCCCTCTTCTCTTTTACGCCCCAAATCTCTGAAATTGGGGTTCCCGGGGTCTCTACTCTCACTCCTAACCTCAGACTTCTGAATCAGGAGGGCCTGGAAGACTCGTTTTCACCTTTGCCCCAATTTCCCGGATTTGGGGTGTCTTGGGGACCGTCTTCTCGTTCTGACCCCCCAGAATTGTGAGTTTGAGGGCTCCCCTGGAACCCTTTTCTCACTGTTTACCAAAGTCGATGCGCTTGTTTTGGAAAAAACACCCCCGTCACTTTTTCGCCACAAACTCACCGAGAATCGGACTTCCCAGGGACCCGTTTCTCACTTCTACCAAAAATCCTCGTGGTTAAGGGTCTTCGGACACTCCTCCCCTCTCTCCCTTTGAACCCCACATTCCTGAGTTTGGGGGATCCTGGGTCCGCCAGTGTTTCCTACCCCCTCGGGAGGCCCCTTCGCACAGCCGCATCTCCCCCATTTGGACTGATCTCCAAGCGAGAAGAGTTTCACCAGAAGTTGTGTTTTTGTTTTGTTTTGTTTTTTTAATGTATTTATTTTGTTTAAAGAGCCTAACTTGTGGCCCCAAACTGCTCGGTGACATTTTCTCCTGAGATTGTGTGAGTGCGCGTATGTTTGTGAATTTAAACCCCACCCCTGAACCCCATCCCCCTCCGAAGCGCACTCTGGCACACACACGGACACACGCGTGCACACATACACACACAAACACACACACACCACACCACCCCCCCAATACTCTGTTCCTTTCCTGTCCTGAGAGAAGCCAGGGGCTCCCTCTGGCTCCGTCCCCGGCCCCGTTGGCTGTTCTCACTGCTGCACTAGGAAAGTTAGGTTTCCTGATCCTAGTGGCTATTTCAAGGGCCCCTGGGGCCAAGTGCCCCTGCCATTCCAGCGGAGGCGGGGGTGGTTCACCGTCCTAATTTTAACCTCCTGGTTTCCCTGCAGGAATGAGGGAGGGAGTCCAGGTCTGCCTTCCCTATAGACCTCCTGCCTGCTTCTGGGTGCTTTCATTATGCAGCCCCCCAACACACACGCCTGTACTCAGCTGTTTCTTGCTCCGTGCAATTAACCAGCGGTGCAGACTTTCCTGAGTTTTTTCCCCTCCCAGTCAGCTTTATCTCTGCAAATCCAAAATATCAAACCTTATACAAGACTCTCTTTCAACTAAGACTCCCCCAACTAAATAATTATGCTAATAATAATGACCCAAACAGCAACAACAAAACCTTATTTTTTTTCTGCACATATTGTCAACATGTTTTTATCCTTTGGCTTCATGCTCTGAAACATAATTTGTGTGCTTCTATAAAGACCCTTACCCTGCGTCCTGGGACTGTCAGGGCTGGCTACCTGTTCTTTCTCCCACTCAAGTTTAAAAATGTGAACCCACTCCAGAATAACCTTAGAGATGGCTTCTCACCTGCCCTTGCCAGAGAAGTGAGACTGTATGGTGAGCACCTTCCCCTCCTTCCCCCCTCCCCGCCTCCAGAATCCAATTTCCTTAGGCACCAATCAATGCTAACTTCGCCAGCCAAAGGGCCTGGTAAAGTATGAGAGGGGACTTGGTCATTTTTAAAAAAGATTTCCTATACATGATGGACAAGCTGACAGGTTCTGTGATCCTGTGATATTTGGCTGATTTAGGCTGGGAATGAGTTCAGAAACAGTTTGCTTCTGCAGTAAAAGCAAAACTGAATTATTTAGCCTTTAGGTACATTCCTCTTTTATACCAGATAAACTGCCCAGACACTCCAAAGGGGCATCTGGGAGCAGGGGGACAGAGTTATTAATTACACCAAGGCAACAGAATGAGTTCTTTGAAATTCTGTTGATATTTGCATTCTGGGTGAAGGACATACATTACCTTTTTTTTTTCTATAAAGATTTTATTTACTTATTTGAGAGAGAGCATGGAGCAAGGGAGGGACAGAGGGAGAGGGAGAAGCAGACTCCCCGCTGAGTGGGGAGCCCGCCATGGGGCTCAATCCCAGGACCCTAAGATCATGACCTGAGCTGAAGGCAGACGCTTAACCAACAGAGCCACCCAGGTGCCCCAGGACATACATTACCTTAATATTCATCTTTTAGCCATGTTGATCACTGAAGCACGGCTGGGATGGAGCCATTCACCAGAAATGCAGATGCTGGGAAATTGTTTATCTGGATCTCATTCCTTTGAGCTAATTTGTCGTTCGAGATTCGAGTAACAATTAATTTTTGTTCGTCAATATTTAATTATTTGAACTTTTGTTATTATTACAGAGTCAAAATCTTGAGTGTACCGGTGGGATTTTTATAGGCACTTGTGGTTGTTTTGCTCGTAAAATTCCAAGGCCAGTAGGAACCATATCTTATAATCTATTTGACTTTTTTTAATTAACTGCAAGGTGACCACTTATTTAAATAATGTGCCCCCCTCCCCGACACCTACTTACTTGTAAAATGTGAACTATTTAAAAGGCGAGGAAAGTTCCCAGAGAAATCATCTTGCTAGTTGGGACCCTCGCCAAACTTGGGGACAGGAAGGTGTAAGTCCTGACCCTGTGGCTGAAACCAGGGGTTTCAGATGCCCCCAGCAAAGACATCCATATTTCTGCACCAGGCTGCATGAGTATTCCCACCAAATGGGTAGATGAGGACCAGAAACAACCTCAAGCCAGTTCAGGTCAGATTTTGTCTGTGCCACATTTACAAAAAAATTTCCAGTTTTCAGGGCTTTTTTGGATATCAGCATTGTTATAAGGGATCGTGGACTTCCGTATTCAAAAAGGCCTTTTGACTCCCTTTCTGTTATTTAAAGGATGAGTAGCTCCGTCACAGACCAAGTTCTCTAGACACGTGCCTGGCACAGAGGATGTACTTAATTTGCCGAATGGGTGAATGAATGGAATATGCATTGGGAATTAGAGAGGAAACTGAAAACCACCTACATGCTTCTTGGAGACCGCAAGAGCAGCACAGGAATTCTTACGGGGTGGGGGGTTGGAGGGAAAAGAGAAGGAAGACCCAGACTCTTCCTTGAAGAGAGGACGACCCAGAATCAAGGGTGTGTAGGGTAAGGAGTGGGTGACGGAGGATGCGGAGGAGAGCCAGGGAGAGGGCCTGACAGGGCTGGGGGAACCATGCGGGCCTGGAAAGCGTGGGCCTGCCCAAGAGGATGAGGAAGGTCTTCCTAGCGGAGAAGTCTGTGTGGCTACTCGCTGGACGCATCCAGGTGGAGTCTGACAGGCAACCTAAACACAAGGTGGCCAAACTGAGCTCCCCGTGGGCCCCACGGTCTGCCCCTCCAGGCCTTGCACCCCCTTTGAGTATCAGCTGGCTTCTCCTGGTTGATCAGGCCAGAACTTTCTCGCAAGCCATGGGCAGAAGCTCCAACTCCACCCCACCAGTGGAGACGTAGGCTCTGCCCATGCCTCACCCACCACCTCCACGACCAGCCCCCGCTCCGGGCCACCAGCCCCTCTTACCCAGATGATCCCCGACTGTTTGTTAACCTGGCGGGGGTGGGGGTGGGGGGCATATTACCTCCTGTCGTGTCTCCCTCAGCTCAGAACCCCCCACGGCTCCCATCTTGCCCGGAACAAAGGCCAAAGCCTCTTCCCACCCTGGGCCTCTCCACCCCAACACTCTGGCCTCATCTCTGCCGCTGATCTTCTTCCTCACTCCACATCAACCCCGCAGGCCTGTTGGGAGGTCCTCAAGCCTTCTGCCTAGAAATTTCTTCACCCAAGTAATGGGGGGCTGCCCCCGCCCTGTCTTCAGGCCTTTTCTCAGATGTCACCTTCCCAGGCCTCCCACTCAAAAGTGACACACACTCAGCCTCCTTCCCCGCTGTCTCTTTCCTCTGCATTTATCACTCACATGCGCACATAATGACATAATGCACGTTTACTTTATAACCACCGTCCGGCCCCTCATTAGAAGGTCAGCTCCTTAAGGGGAGGAAGCACTGTGTTTTATTAACTCCTCTTTCCTCCGGGCTGAGCACAATTCTGACGCTGAGGAGGCTCTCAATCAGTATTTGTTAAATGAATAAATAAACCGTTTCCCGCCCACCTATGGGGGAGGCCCGTCTGGAAATGGAGAGTCGCTCCTTACCTGCCATATGTCGCCGCCCTATGTGTCTTGGGACAGCTTGGGTTGGACAGAGAAGGGCTCACGTGCGGTGTCTCTGCTGCTTAGCTCGGGGGGCTCCAGGTAAGGTGTGGCGTCCGTGAACTAGGTAATCATACCGGCATGGCTGCTGTATTAAGAAATACTATTTATCATTGTGTGGCACCGGGCCTGGCCGAGAGTCTGTGCTCCACAAAGACTGGCTGTTTACTCTTCTATCACTATTGTTACTATTCGGGAGCAAATGAGCAGTAGCGGCCTGGGATCATGTTCTTATTTGGGTTTTCCAACCCATGCAAGCATCGAGGAGGCATTCGGGAGCTGTGTTTTGCCTGATGGAGCCCATGAGCCTCCACTGTCTGTCTGAG